TTTGAAATGTTTTTTCTTTCATGACTTTGAATATATCATGCCACTCCCTTCTGTCCTGCAGTTGCTGCTGAAAAATCAACCAAGAGACTTATGAGGTACCTTATGTATAAAAAATTATTTTTCTTTTTCTGCTTTTAAGATTCTCTCCTTGTTTTTAACTTTTGGCATTTTAATTATGTGTCTTAGTGTGGGTCTCTTTAGGTTCATCTTATTTGGAACTCTCTGGGCTTCCTGGATCTGGATGTCTTTTTCTTTTCCCGGGTTAGGCAAGTTTTCAGCCCTTATTTCTTAAAATAAGTTTTCTGCCCTTTTCTCTCTCTCTTCTTTTTCTGGGACTCCTAAAGTGTGAATATTACTCAGCTTGATGTTTTCTTATAAGTCCCTTATAGTATCTTTATTTTTTTTTCTATCATTCTTTTTTCTTTTTCCTGCCCTGTTTGGGTGATTTCCTCTGCCCTGTTTTGGGTTCATTGATCCTTTTTTTCTGCTTTATCTAGTCTGATGTTGAACTCACCTAGTGTTTTGTTTTGTTTATTTGTTTGTTTGGCTACACTGTGGCTTTTGGGATCTTAGTTCCCTGCACAGGGATTGAACCCGGGCCCCTGCAGTGAGAGTGCCAAGTCCTAACCACTGAACTGCCAGGGAATTCCCACATCTAGTGTATTTTTTAGTCCATATTTTTCAGTTCTGTGATTTCTCTGTGGAACTCTCTTGTATTTTCTGTCTCTTTGTCAAAATTCTCACCGTGTTTATTCTCCCAAGTTCAGTGAGCACCTTTACGACCATTACTTTGAACTCTTTATCAGGTACATTACTTATCTTTGTTTCATTAGCGGTTTTTTTCTTTTTTCCTGGGGTTTTATCATGTTCTTTTGTTTGGAACACATTCCTCTGTTTCTTCATTTTGCTTGATTCTCTGTTGGTTTCTGTGCAATAGATGAAAAACAACCACTTCTCCCAGTCTTAAAGGGTTGACCATAGGAGATAAACCTTATTGTTTAACCCTGCCCTAGCTCTTCATGTCTTTCAAACCTTTGTGATTGTCCAAGAAGCTTATTTTATTTTTACTGGTTCCCAGTAGTTGAGGATGTGCCAAGGCCAGTGTCCCAAAGGGGAGTATCTCAGTCAGCACCTAGATTCAGGCTGAATGGAAGCCAAAACCTTAGGTATCAGTTTTTAAATAATGCAAATATATATATATATATTGCTGTGGGACCACAGCCATAAGCCTTGCTGGCCTCCAGGTTTGGAGGCATCGCCTGGGCAGCAGTCACACAAATCAGGGCTCCAGAGGAGTATACAAGCTCCTTTCTGGGAGATATTGGTGAGCTATAGCAAGGCAGAGGGTGAGTGCAAAATGGCATCTCCCAGCCTCTGTTCCATGAAAGCACCTCTGTAGTCGTTAATGTGTGCCAAACCAGAAACCTGCTTCTAAGGCCAAAACTCCTGGACAAATAAATAGGCTACTTTCTCAGAGAGACTAGGGATGTGTTTCTGTTAACTGTCTGTGTGGTGTCCTGAGAGTGGCAGTCTGCCAAGAACCGTCTCTCTGATTGTTACAGTCCCATGGGACCCAGGAACATAAGTCCCTCTGACTGCCAGAGCCAGGTGATCAAGGGGTGTCCTCTGGGTAGCAAACATAAAAACTGGGTCACCAAACAAAATGGCAGAGGGGGAGCAGGAAGATGGTGTCCACCAGTCTCCATCCCTGGAGAGCATCCCAGTAGGCCCCTGCTCCTTCAGCCATTGCTTTAAAATTAGGAAATTAGTCTCTTTCACGTAAAGGCCGGGTGCTTTCAAAAGGCTGCTTCTGTGCTGGGCCCTGGTGCAGGTGAGTCTGCACACAAGCCCTTTAAGAGCCATTCTTCGATTTGCCACACCCCATGTGTTTCATGGGCTTGAGCCCCATTGGTCTTCAAAGCCAGACATTTTGGGGGCTCATCTTTCAGCTGCCAGTCTTAAAAATAGGGGTGCCCAATGTGGGTTATGAGCCCTTTGCTCCTCAGGGAGAAGCTCTGGGTTTTGAGTTCCCTCCCGACTGTGGGTCGCTGCACCAGGGTGGGGTTTATGGTGAGATTGTGTCTCAGCCTTTCCCACCTGCTTCAATGTGGTTTCTCTCTGGTTTGGGTGATGTGGAGGGCCTTGCTCTGCCAGTTTTTAGGTTATTGTCAGAGGAAATTGTTGAATGTGTAGCTGTAGATTTCAGTGTGAGTGTGGAGGAGGTGAGATCAGGATCTTCCATCTTGAACTGGAACCCCGACATTCTTTTATTCACATAATATCTCCATAGTATAACCCACATGCCATGAAAACCTGACCAAATACATCTGCTTATAGTCCTGTCCTTTAATCCTGTGTTTGTGTGTGTGTGTGTACATGCATACATACATACATATATACATGCTTACTTATGGACCTTACTAGGAAGTTTTTATATCTGAAGATAAAGAGACAAGAAGAAAGTTGACTAGCACATAAAAAGGAAAAATTTATATATATGAGAAAAAATGTGAGTTACAGTGCTTTTCATCACCTTCCTAAATTGTTCATTCTGTTGATTACCCTTTTCTTGACTGATCTTTTTGCGTTGACATTTGTTTGTTTTGTTTTGGGGGGGTTTCAGGCCCGCATCTTGCCCATATCCTGTCACCTAATAAAGAACTAGTGGAACTGTAAGTGCTCTCTGCCTATAGAAATGAACCTCACTTGCCTTTCTCCATCCGCTTCTTGTATTTCTTTTGACCAAGGCCTTCATTTCACACACACAGTTACCAGGCACTCATGTGGCCACAAGCCGGTTAGTGTGTTTGGCACTGACAATATAAGAATGACTTTTAACGTGGGTTTAGTATTCATTGTGCTCAGAGTGCAGTAGGGCAGATAAATAGGAGACAAGTAACCACAGCAATAGTAACTATACCTGTAACAAGGACCAGAGGACTGACTAATCATCTGTGCTCTTGGCATCAGGATCAGGGACAGTATCTCAGAAAAGACAAGGTATTCTGGGCAGAGGGAAAAGCCATAGAGGCATAAAATAACATGAAATTTTGGGAGTTATGAGGTATTGAAAAAGTACGATGTGGGGCTTTCCAGGTGGCGCAGTGGTTGGGAGTCCGCCTGCCGATGCAGGGGACGCGTGTTCGTGCCCCGGTCCGGGAAGATCCCACATGCCGCGAGTGGCTGGGCCCATGAGCCATGGCCGCTGAGCCTGCGCGTCCGGAGCCTGTGCTCCACAACGGGAGAGGCCACAACAGTGAGAGGCCCGCGTACCACAAAAAAAAAAAAAAAAAAAAAAAAAAAAAAAAGTACAATGTGAAAAGACAAGATGGGGCAAAGTAACCTGTGGATGGATTGTAAAGCATCTTCTGTGCAGATTTAAGGAATGTGATTTTATTCTGTAGGTAATGACAACTCCTCAGACATTTCAAGGAAGGTAGCCACCTGAGAAAAAAAGTGTTTTGAAGTCACTCAGAATTCAGCTCACATCTCTGCTTATGTCACTTACTAGCTGAATACTCTTGGGTCTGGTGCTTAACATTTCTGAACTTCAGTGTTCACATCTGTGAAATGGGTGTAGCTTGGACTGAGAGTACCTTGGTTTGTGAGTGACTTAATCATTCAGCAAACATTATTTATTGAGCGCCTGTTATACATAATGCCCAGAGAAATTCTACAGGGAAGGGAAATGCAGTAGGATGAGCCTACAAAGCTTAGAAAAGGTAGATGCTGTATCAACCCATTCAAAACTTAGCACATTTCTCTATTCACAGCTATTCTTCTTTTTTTTTTTTTTTTTTTTGCGGTACACGGGCCTCTCACTGCTGTGGCCTCTCCCATTGCGGAGCACAGGCTCCGGACGCGCAGGCTCAGCGGCCATGGCTCACGGGCCCAGCCACTCCGCGGCGTGTGGGATCTTCCCGGACCGGGGCACGAACCCGTGTCCCCTGCATTGGCAGGCGGACTCTCAACCACTGCGCCACCAGGGAAGCCCCCTGTTTTATTTTTAAATATTCCTCATCTTCTTGTCTCCATCCCTGTTGCCAAAGCCTTCGTTCTGGCTCTTACCTCTCACCTGGAATCTGCAGTAGTTGGTTTCTCTTCTTCTTTAATTCATTTTCTCTTAGATGAGAAAGTTCTCACTTTAAGTGATACTAGCCATATGCTGAGTGCTTGCTAACTGTCAGATGACTGCTAATGCCCTGCATTATCTCAGATTGTTAAGATATGCCTGGGGTCTGCTGCTAGACCAGGAGTTGAAGGCTCACCCTCTCCTTGGTTGGCTAAGAGCAAAGTGTGTCAGTTCCAGCCTACCCATGCCTTTTGTCTCCTCTTGCGCAAGGCCTGCTTCCTTGTTCTCTTTGTTATGCTGTCTTCTGTCAGATGCCTGGGGCCTTCTTATCATCTACTGTTTGCTGGAATCCAAAGCTTTTAAAAGTTAACTGGTTCATGCTAGGTAGATTGGACATGGGCCCATCCTCTGCATTTGTATTAGGGGTGTGTTCTACACTTAAACATGAGATTTGAAGCTTTAAAGAAAATCTCATATTTTAATAAGATGTCTCTTCTCTCAGCCCTCACAGTAGGTATATTTTGTACTTGCGGTGAACCTGCCATTGAAATGATCGTACTCATGATCTTTAACATTTTTGTACTTCCACCCTGATAAGAAACTGTCTTGCAGTGGGGTGGTGGAATGCCTTTTTTGTCTTTTCTTGTTCTGCCCATTTTTAGTCTCTGCTTGATTATGTGGAATCTGATTATCCATGAAGGTAAGATGGACTTGGAGATCTACTTGTGGGTTCTCAGGTTGAAGGTATCTGTATCCCAGTACTTTATCGCAATGCTTTGTACCTATTAGGTGAATTTGTCACATACAGATAGCTTCCTCATCACACCGACAGTAAACTTTCTATTCTGCTTTTCTTCTCCCTATGTTACAGTTGGGAATTGAGAAGAGCATTAACTCACTTATTTGTATTTTGTTTCTGATGCTCCAGGTCAGGATGGCTAACTGGTTGGCTTCCCACATGGTGTCCTTCGTCAACATCACACCTTAAAGAAGCTGAAGAGAAAATTTTAAAATGTAAGGTTTTCTTCTTCTAAGTTAACTGAGCCATTTACTAAAATAGGTCCAATATAAAGCATCACCTTGAAACCGAAGATCAGATTCTGTTGTGTGTTAGTTGTTGGCAAAAGAACTTTTTTTTCCTTTTACATGTCATCAGTAAGTGTGTAAATGTGGGAAGAAGTCAAGGGTTCTCAAACTTTTTGGTCTTGAGTCCCTTTTATACTCTTAAATTAGGAAGTACCCCAAGGAACTTTGTTTAGAGGTTATAGCTATCAATATTTACTGTATTAAAAATTAAAAATGAGGGCTTCCCTGGTGGCGCAGTGGTTGGGAGTCCGCCTGCCGATGCAGGGGACATGGGTTCGTGCCCAGGTCCGGGAGGATCCCACATGCCGCGGAGCGGCTGGGCCTGTGAGCCATGGCCGCTGGGCCTGCGTGTCCGGAGCCTGTGCTCCGCAACGGGAGAGGCCGCAGCGGTGAGAGGCCCGCATACGGGAAAAAAAAAAAATTAAAACTGAATAATTCAAAATATGTCAACTTATTAATTTATTTTAAAACAATAGTAATAAACCTGTTGCAGGTTAAAATAAACAACATGTTTTCTAAAAATAACTGCTTTCTAAAAAAACAAATGTAGTGAAAAGAGTAACATTGTTTACAAATTTACACCTCTCTTTAATATCTGGCTTAATGTAAGGCAGCTGGATTCTCATATCTGCTTCTGCATTCAGACTGTTGGTAATCATTTATCATGTGACCTCTGGAAAACTCCACTGTGAGTGAAAAAGGCAAATAAAGTCTTAGATTGTTATGAAAATAGTTTTGACCTCATGAGACCTCCTGAAAGGATCTCTGGGTCACCAGAGGTCCGCAGACTGCTCTGAGAGCAGGCTGTAGGTATCGCAGAGCAAGTAGCCTTGTCTAGTAGAACACATACTGGACTACATCCAGGTAACCTGTTCTAGGCCCAGGGCTGCAGTCCAGGGGTTACAGCGTCTTGGGCAAGTTCCTTTTCTCACCTTCCTAGTTTTTGCCCATAAGAGGAGTGGGTGGGGTGATCCTTAGTCTAGTATTCTAGGATTCTTTATGTCTACATTTATAGTAGTGTGGAAACCTTCATCTTTTTTGTTTCTTGTGAGCACTGAAATTTACCCACACTTGTACTGTCAGAGTGTTCCCAGATATCTGTGGGTATACTTTCAAGTAATGGTGTTTACTGTGCAATTTTGTTTAGAGGAAGAGCTTAAGTGGTGCAGTGCACATACATGATTATTATGTATATTTGTGCATATACTTGTCCACACCTGTTTTTCATACTCTCTGCCACAAATGAATTTTGTTTGTACATTTAAATGATTCAGGAGTAAGTGACCATAACTGGATATATCCAAAGAAGGGGACAATTAGCCATCTTATATGGATTTTTAACATGCAAATGGATTTCTGCTCTGTATGGTTGGGTAATCTTGTTGTCTACAAAGCTGGCAAAGTTGTCATTGTGATTTACTAAAAGAAAAAGTTCTTGTCAAGAGATAAAAAAAAGGGTGCTAGATACTCAATTCATGTGTTTAACAAACATACTGATTTCCTACTGCTGGGTTCTAGGGATGCAAATAGGAGTGAGAATTGGCCCCTGCTTTAATATCAGACATGGAAGCAAGCAACTAATACAGTGGGGTGAGCTCCCTCATAGAGGTCACAGATCGTTTTTATGGGAATACGCAGACATCTATGTTCAGAATGTGGTTTGGCTTGGCACTAGTACTGGATCACCTCCTTTTCTAAACTGGTGTCATTTCCATTCACTCTGGGCTCTGTTAATATTCTGAACAATTGCTGAGTTTCCCCTCTGCCACTATGTGGGTACAAAACTGGAGAGTATTTGGTTAAAGGGCAGAAACTCCCGGTTCTCCGTGTTTGTCCACTGCAGATGTATATGCACAAATAATTAAGATATATCTAAAGTGTAGCTATTCAGTTGATAATTTAATGTAAAAGAATTTCAAATTAGTTTCATCTTTAGTCAGTTATGGGGGAGATTTAAAGTATTTAGTCCTGTAGCATTGAGGGCAAGAAAGATTTTTTATGTACAAAATTGTGATTATTTGCTTTCTCTAGAGAGATTGTTGGATATGAACTCAGACTACCTGGCACCTCATGCTGAGGAGTTCCTGCCATCTTTTTCTACTAAACGTTATGATGACTTAAGATTTCAGTTATGTGTTTAATACATGTTAATCCTTCCCTAAATTCATGATGATGTTTTAGGAAAAAAATGTTTCTTTTGAGTCTGAGTTCAATGTTCAATGCTTAATCTTCAAGTGTTCTACACATACAAGGTAGTATTCTATTGTCTGTAAAGCTAGCGACTTTAAAATAATGGATTCAGCAGCCACTAAGTTCCACTCCAGTACCCTCAACTGATAGATAAGGAAAGAAGTCCAAAGAGCTGACATGACTTGCCAGAAAACCTAGGCCACAGTTGCTTGAGACTTGTCTGAGATAGATCTTACCACCAAGATGTAAAATATGGTAATTAAGAAATACTTGCTTTGGGACTTCCCTGGTGGTGCAGTGGTTAAGAATCCGCCTGGCAGCGCAGGGGACATGGGTTTGAGTCCTGGTCCAGGAAGCTCCCACGTGCTGCGGAGCAACTAAGTATGTGCACCACAACTACTGAGCCTGCACCCTAGAGCCCGCGAGCCACAACTACTGAGCCTGCATGCCACAACTACTGAAGCCTGCTCACCTAGAGCCCGTGCTCTGCAGCAAGAGAAGCCACCGCAATGAGAAGCCTGTGCACCACAATGAAGAAGTAAACAAACAAACAAATAAATAAGTAAAATTAAAGAAAAAAAGAACTGCTTCAATAAAATGTGCACTTTTTTTTTTAGGGCTGATATAATAAAGGCTAAACTCATATAAATGAATACCAGATGGTTTCTAGATTATTAATTTCTGATTGCTCTGAGAATACGCTCCTTCTCAGAAGTAGTGACACTAAGCAGAATTTCTCTTTTATGTTTCCATTAGGTGTCCCCTGCACATACAAAAAAGGACCTGTTTGTATATCTAATGGAAATAAAATATGGACACTGAAGCTTTCTCATAATATTTCAAATAAGACTCCACTTGTCCTCCTCCATGGTTTTGGAGGAGGTCTTGGACTCTGGGCCCTGAATTTTGGAGATCTTTGCACCAATAGACCTGTCTATGCTTTTGACCTGCTGGGCTTTGGACGAAGTAGCAGACCCAGATTTGACAGTGATGCAGAAGAAGTAGAGAATCAGTTTGTGGAATCCATTGAAGAGTGGAGATGTGCATTAGGATTGGACAAAATGATTTTGCTTGGACACAACCTGGGTGGGTTCCTGGCTGCTGCCTACTCACTGAAGTACCCATCAAGGTAAGTGATGGTGACAAAAGAGAGGCACCCAAGCACTGGTTTCCAGTTCCCCTCTTTGGTGCTTGTTGGTGTCTGAACCTTATAAGACAGACATTGTCTTAAAGGACCCTGTAGACTGAATAGCCACAACTGATGGCCAATTTAGTAGCAGAAATAGTGTTGTCAGGTTTTCCTATTACATATGCTACACATTGGTAGGAGGCTTATGAAAGGACTTTCTATTTGTTAGAATGTACACAATTTAAGCCACGAGTAAAAACTGTTGTGTTGTTATTGTTTACAGTTATTATTATCATTAGACCTATGGATCCAGCAGGCTTTTCCTAACCTTTTCCAGGTTTTAGTAAGCTGCAATAGAAAACCAGAGGTTAGAAATTAGAAGACGTAGGTGCTAGTGCTATCTTTATGGCTTAGAGCAAATCACTTAATCTCTAAATTTTAGTTTCCACATCTCTAAGCTACAGAAAATACACCTGCATAGAATATCTTTTAGCTTTTTTTATTATTATACTGTGCCCTAACCTTTAATGCTATAGAATTTTTTTCTGAGTCATTGAATTAATGAGTGTTTACTTCAGAATCTTTGTAACATCTCTTCCTTTCCTTTTTTTTTTTTTTTTTTTTTTGCGGTCCGTGGGCCTCTCACTGCTGTGGCCTCTCCCGTTGCGGAGCACAGGCTCCGGACGCGCAGGCTCAGCGGCCATGGCTTACAGACCCAGCCGCTCCACGGCATGTGGGATCTTCCTTGACCGGGGCATGAACCCGTGTCCCCTGCATCGGCAGGCGGACTCTCAACCACTGCGCCACCAGGGAAGCCCTCTCTTCCTTTCTTTACCTTATTTTCTTATGCTATTTCCTATTATTTATGTTGCTAATCTGGGGGGAGGTCACAAAATGATATTTTGTATGATTAGTAAGTATAGACCAGATGATACCGCAGTGTAGCCCACAGTATAGGAAGGTGGCAGTTAACCTCTAGGGTTCTCCTTCCCCCTAGCTTTTTTCCTATGTTGCTTTTTAGGATGGCTTTCCTTGGAGCACTTCTCTTTTACCGGAGAAGAAAGAGATCAATGAATAAGAATGTCTCTGTTCTTATAGAGACATCATTTCCTTTGCTGCAGACGTCCTCACTGCTCCGTAATGGTCCCCATTTGTGTTAATTTCTTACCTTACAGAAACTTTTTCTGCTTGATCCTGACTAAGCAAATTCATCTAGATTTCCATAGAAGATCAGATGTTATGGTTAATAGAACAGTTCAGCAGACTCACAGATCCAAATGTAGTTAAACACAATTGACTGCTACCAGTGTAAGTGTTCATAATTATAGCAAGCCTCATAGTGAGTGAGATTTAGCATTAGCTGTTTCTTCAAGTTGCACTCCTACTAAGCAGTTGGGTGGTTGTCAGGGTCGCCATCTGTGTGATCTGAGAGGTTTTACCTGAGCCAGAAAAGCTGCTTGGTGGCATACACATATTTTCTCTGGTGCAGCGGAGTGGTCTGTTTTATACTGTAAGTAACTACCTACTCTAAATGTCACTTATCCAACTTTAACTTGATCCAGGTACCTTTTTAAAAAACTTTTTTTAGAGCTGTTTGAGAAGGAGGTACAGAGATTTCCCATGTAATCCTTGTTCCTACACATGCATAGCCTCCCCTACAAGGACCATTTTTATTATGCTGTCATGAGATTAAATCTTTGAGTTTCAGAAAGATTTTGGTGGGGTGGGGTGAGAGGAGGGGATAAAATGGTCTAATAGAGACCAAGTGAGGTTCAGTTAATTTCCTTCACTCACTGTGCTTCTTTTCTTATCTCTCTTTCTCTCTTTTTTCTCAAGTGGACTTTGAGAATATGACTTTTTTCTTTGCCTCCTCAGGTATGATAGATATAATCTGTACTTTTTTTTCTCCTAAGTAAAACCACAGCTCTTTAATTTCTATTGTTTCTCTGCACGGAGGAAAAAACCACAAAGACAACACTTTTTTTACTTGTTGGGACTTATGTCCCAATCCATACCTATTTCTGCCCTTAATCTTTTATGGGCAGCCCCATTCTTTCATTATTTGTTTATTTTTATAGGACAGTTTGAGGAGAAGCGTGAAAATGCCTAGTTTAATGTACTTGTTTAGGAAGGATTCTAATAATAGAAAATAAATAAAAACTAATGTTTTCCAATTTTTGGTATATTATGTCAACCTGTGTGCTTCATCTCTATGAGCAGCAGAGTGCCTCTGTCCATAAAAGTTGTTCTATAGCCTAACTTGTGGCAGTGATCCCATATTTTCCCCAGATTCTTGATATTGATTAAAAACTGAGTATTCAGCAATTGTGATTCTTTATGTAAAAGTACCTGGATGAGTCCTTCATTGAAATAAACAGGTTCGTTCTGTTTAAATAATGTTGAGTGACTTTGTGTGCTTGTAAGGCTTATAATGCATTGGGGGAAAAGACACAAATAACCACGTGAGTAGCATGACAGCTGTGAGAAATCTTGATGAATATCTGATCCAGTCTCAGGTCCATTATGGTATCCTAAAGAAGTATAATTCGAGCTGAGGTGGAGGTCTCAAAGGGATGTAGCAGGAGAGCATTCTAGGTAGTAGGGACAAAAATTGCAAAGGCCCTGTTCTAGGGAGACATCTGGGCCATTCTGGAAAGGCTGTGTGATTGGTGGGCAGAGAAGTTATGAAGTGATTAATAAATAACTCCAAATGGAGGCAGAAACCTCATGTTCCTTCCCCTAAAATGACCTTAGTTCATCTCCGTTCTCTTACTGTGATTTTTGATAATTAGAGATGTTGTCTGTAATTTTACTTGTAGACTAATGTGCTGCATTCATTAAACAGGGCCACTGTGTGAGGTGTCTTGGGCTGACACTCTGTAAAATCTTCTTCATCAAGCAGTGTCTGATCACCTTAAGGGGGGAACAAAGGGAATAGAGGAAACCAGCAATAATAGCCAAAGATACCATCTCCTTTCTTTCATCTGTGTACTCAGGTTTTCCTTTTAATTTTCCTTTTCATTCTGGCCCCTGCTGTTCAGGATCCCATACAGAGACTATCTGTATTTTTTTTTTGTTTGTTTGTTTTTTGTTTTTTGTTTTTTGTTTTTTTTTTTTGCGGTATGCGGGCCTCTCACTGTTGTGGCCTTTCCCGTTGCGAAGTACAGGCTCCGGACGCGCAGGCCCAGCGGCCATGGCTCACGGGCCCAGCCGCTCCGCGGCACGTGGGATCCTCCCAGACCAGGGCACGAACCCGCCTCCCCGGCATCGGCAGGCGGACTCTCAACCACTGCGCCACGAGGGAAGCCCGAGACTATCTGTATTTTATAGGTATTTGTTATAAACTAAGGAAAAGGACACTATGAAAACTTTTATTAACTTGGAAAGTGTTTAGCAAAGAGATCCATTCCAAGTCACAACAGTATAGGTTACAACTGGTCTTCTCCACTAAAAGCTTTTCAGATCATCTTGCTTTTGACCTTGCCTGGCTCTGTCTCCTGTCTCCAGACTATGTGGAGCTGGGCTGAGCATTTCTTATCAGCCCGTCTTGAGAAGAAAGACTGTTCTACTTGACTCGAAGTTGGAGGTATTTAAGTTTATTGTTCTGTGCCCCATCCTCCCCTCAGTGGCTTGGAACCGATGGGAACTATCTGGGGCTAACTTCTTTTTGAGAATGCCTCATTTGTGCACTGACTCGAGTTCTTTCTGGTCCTTTTCCTCGTTCCTTAGTAGGTCCTGTAATCTTCTTTGTACATTTTGGTTCTGGGTCTGGTCATTCCTGTTGTTGTATTATTTCTGGCTGGTAGCTGACTTTAAGTCTTGTGAAAGTCAGGTTTCCATAGACTTGTTAGCATTTAGACTCAGCTGTCCCAGAATGTTGGAGCAGGTGTTACCTACTTCTTTGCCCTGTAGGCTGTAATCTGCTCACCATCTTCAAACTCAAGACCTACTGTAATGACTAACCTGGAGAAGAATGCGTCATTATGTTTCTCAACTGATGAGCTCTTCTTGTGTTCCTGCTTTGCTGGTTCTTTGTTTTTCCTGTAGTTTGCATTAGCCTCTGATTCTTTTTTTTTCTTTCTTTCTTTTTTTTAGGGGAGGGGGTCTTCGTTGCTGTGCACAGGCTTTCTCTAGTTGTGGAGAGTGGGGGCTACTCTTCATTGTGGTGCGTGGGCTTCTCATTGCAGTGGCTTCTCTTGTTGTGGAGCATGGGCTCTAGGCACGTGGGCTTCAGTAGTTGTGGCATGAGGGCTCAGTAGTTGGGGCTCGCAGGCTCTAGAGTGCAGACTCAGTAGTTGTGGTGCACAAGCTCAGTTGCTCCGTGGCATGTGGAATCTTCCCGGACCAGGGCTTGAACCCGTGTCCCCTGCACTGGCAGGTGTATTCTTAACCACTGCGTCACCGGTGAGGTCCCTAGCCTCTGATTCTTGATAAAGATGTCTGATAGGATGACTCACATGCTGTCTGGCTAGACCCGTTCCTTAAGCCTAGATGTGAGCTAACAATCCCATCAGGCTATCCTCTATGGGATATTAGAGGGTCGAGTCTGGATTAGTATATGAGTTTGGATATACATTAAAACTAAATAACGCCTAGCAAATGAGGAGATAATCTTCTTACTAGAGAAGCAGGTGAGAAGATAGCCTGGGAACTTGGTCTGGTGCAGGATTATAAGGAGTGTGAGCCAAAGCCTGTGATAAAGCTTTTCTGAAGAATAAAAAAAGTTAAATTACTCATTCCTTACATGGTCCCAGCCATTGTCTTCCCATGCTTCTAGAATGAATTATTCTCTAGTAATCTTCCTGTATTTGCTACTATAACTAGCTAGCATTTACTGGGCATTTGTTATTTGATAGCCGCCAGCCTAAGTGCTTTGCATGGTCTCTCATTTAAAATCCTTACAACCAAAAATAAGCGACAGTTATTTTCTGAGGTGTTTTACAAGTGGAGGCAGATGATATATAACTACAGTTTAGACGTTGTTGCAGAGCTTTTAAAAA